TAAGTTTATAGAGCATGACCTCATTTACATTGTATTCTAGGTACTGATGCTGAACAGTCTTGGCTCCATAGCTTTCTCGAATGGATTTATCTTTGCTCAAGTAACAGGAATGATAAAATCACTACAGGAGAATGAAGATGGACTAAATCTTACCGAGAGCAACATAGTGTGGATAAGTCTGTATTAGTATTGTGATAATGTAGATACTCGTAATAATTCAAAACTCAATTTTGGCTTTAACAAATATGTTGAAAAACTTTGGAATTTAAATTAAACCAATAATAACAATACTTTTATACAAATTCTTTTAATACTTTATAGGATAGTTACAAACATTAAAGAAAATATAAGCCAATTAGCAAAAACTTGAAGTAATTGTTGAACATTTTTTCGTGGCATGTATTTTATCTAAAGATAAAATTTATTTCTTCCAGCATCCGGCTTGTCAATGAACCACTTCATCGGCTTCGGATTGGCAATGTTGAGTGACAAGATAGGAAGACGATGGCCATTGATTATATCTTCAGTAGCAATAGTTGTGCAATGGATTATTTTATACAAGGCACAGAATGTATACCATTTTATGTTATCAAGATTCATCGCTGGAGTTGCTGTTGGAGCTAGATACTGTTTAAATATATTGATAACACCTGAATACACTTCACCAAAAACCAGAGTTTTTGTCCTCAATATAATAACATCGGTGTCGCCAGCTATAGGCACAGGATTGGGTCACTACTTGGGCAACATCTTCCACTGGAGAACTATTGCTTTAATATCAATTCTCCCAACTCTTTTCGGTACTATTGTACCTTATTTTTGTGTTGAAAGCCCTCATTGGTTGGCCTCGAAAGGCAGGTTCCAAGAATGTGAGGAAAGTTTCAGAAAACTCCACGGAAACAGCTCAAAATCAGAATCAGAACTGGAATATCTAATAAAAATGGAAAAATACAAACTGAGACAAGCTGAAACAAGCAATACGAAGACAAGTAAAGCAAAATTATGGCTCGCACTAAAGAAGAAATACTTCTGGAATTTAATACTAGTGGGTTTCTTCATAAGCTCATATTTAGCTGCTTCGGGCAGGGTCGCATTTACAATCTTGGCAACAAATATTCTTGAAGATATGACTGGAACTCCTAATATTGTTCTTTATATCATTCTAGTAGATAGTTTTATCCTGGTAGGCACCAGTTTATCCTGCGTTCTGGTGAGGAAAATGACTATGCGTAATGTGTTATTTTCCACAGGATATACAGCCAATGCTGTTTTGATCATTCTTAGTGCTTGCCTTTACTTTGGAGCTGGTGTAGAGAACCTGCGGTGGGTGAATGTATCGTTGTTGGGAATGTACTTTATTTTAATGGAAGCTGGTCCCTCTCCAGTGTTAGAGGCTTTAATGGGAGAGATTTTTCCCTTAGAAATAAAAGTGTACTTTATGTTCTTCCTTGGCGTAATGCTATCGACCTTCGTAACGTCATCACTCATCCTCTTTCCAATAGTAACTAATGCCATCGGATATTATGGACTATTCTTACTCAATGCTGCTATAATGTCAACTAGTCTAGTATTAATCGGTTTAAAACTACCTGAGACTAAAGGAAGAACACTACAAGAAATAGAAGTGTATTTTAAAACTAATATATTTGATATCGATGAAGCATTGAATGATGAGAGGAAAAATATGTTGTTGTAAAGAATAAAATCTTTTTAGAATTTAAAGTACAATAAATCTTAGAAGACATTGTAGATATACAGATGTTTTTTTTATTAATTATATGATATTCATTAAGGCGATAAGAGCTAACCTTTGATTGGGGATATCTAGATGCTAGCGAAAATATGAGCTACTCTAGGAATTGTTCAAAGTGATCACGGTTTTCTTAAACCAAGGAAAATTGATTTGCTTAAAGAATCCATAAATCACTTCTTTTACAACCTTGAATCTCAGTGAAAAAGATGAGGTATGGAGACAAATTAAACTGACAAAACGAATTGGTCAACTATTTTTATTGTAGAAACATATTTTCACAAATCATTTTCAGCGAACAAAAGAAATTCATTAATTACAAATATTTGACTCTTCTTTGTTTTACAAATTAAGTGATTATTGTGGTATTCGTTTTTAAAAAACTTTATCGATCTTGTTCCGTACGCGCTACATAATATGAAGAAATAATTGAACATCGCCGGGGCGATATCTTTGTATGGGTTAAATATTATACAACGAGTGACGCTGCTGACTCCGCGGAACGAACACCAAGCCGTGTGAACCAGAAGACTCCTGATACACACAAGCTATGGAATGGTATTGCTATCCTAACATCGGGTCAATCATGTAGTCTTAGGTGTAGGTTATAAGCTTTGACATGTAATTCGTATTTTAATATACATATAAGTATGTTTCGTAGTTTTTCTGGAACCTCCGCTTGCCACCCTATAATTATCTTGATAACAAACTTATAGCAACAATAATTTGTTTGTGAAATGTACTTTTTTAATTAACTTAATTTATTTTATATGGGATTGGACTATATTGTAATTCGGCACGTTTGTATTATATTGTAATTCGACTATATTGTAATTTAACGAACAGAAAACACACCAATTTTTTTAATAAAGCTGATGTTTTGACAGGTGATTTTTCGATTGAAAATGAGGCTGATTTTTCAGTATGTATTGAAAATAAGCTGAAAAAATAAATATTTCTTATCAAATAAATTGCAGTGCATTTGGAACATCAAAAGGAAAGTTTTCACTAAATTTCGTGACATAAAATTGTTTTTTGGAAGAGATAAAAATTAAAAACCAAAAACTTGGTTTTTCGAATTTTTCACATAAAATTTGAGGTTATGTGAAAAAAATGTTACTATAAAAGTTTTAGATCTTTTTATTACCTACAACTTTGCCATATATTTTTTTTCTGTAGGACTTTTAGTTTTGCCGGAAATCGAGAAAACCCATTTTTTACCCTTAAATACCCATCCCCGTACCCTTCCCGACCTCAGATCGCCCGTAAATTATTTTTCTTTAATTTTTATAATATTCCGCTCCTTTTCTAATGAGTTTCATTATACTATAATTTAATTATGTTTTAAAAGCTGTCGGCACTGGTCTATTAAACATGTAAAGTATTTACACAGATGCAAATATTTTCTGCATAAAACACGAACTTGTAGATCGTCCTTGAGAATATTTGTATTGATAAAATGTACCGAGTAGTTGCGCTTAAGACCACTTTGGCAGGGAAGCGACGCTAGTCGTTACCAAATCATGAATCTAATGATATATTAAATGTCTATAAACATTCGTATTGCGTAATATATGATTAAAATTATGTAAGTAAGAATTCAACAATATAAATGATTTTTTTGTATGGGCAGGGTATGCAGTGCTTCTTTTGCATATATGGTGTGCACGCCACTGGGACCTACAGACAGACGAAATGCTTAAAACATAATATTTAAGTGATTATTATCATTCATAACACCATAATTCTACTCACGAGAATACGGCTTTCGTACATAAATTAAGTTTTCCAAAGAAATAAATTTGATTGTTTTGAAGTTATAACTGTGACTAAAAGAAATACATTATAGTGTAACAATACTCTTAAACATATAATAAACTGTTATTTAAGTCAGTGGTGGCCTAGTGGTTAAAAGGCTCGCCTCTCATGCAAGAGGGCGCGGGTTCGATCCTGGCCCGGGCAAGTACCAATGTGATTTTTCCGAATCATATGTATTTTCTAAGATTATTTAGACATCACTGATTAATCTGATTCCCAAAAAAAAAGAGGGTTGATGTCAGGCAGGCGGCCGGTCGTAAAACAATTAGCCAAAACTATTCACAACATGTAAGGCAGACCCTGGCTAAAGCTGGGAAATTGCCAGGTAGAAGAAGATATAATATACTGTTATTTGCCAGGGTATTGTGTAACTAGGTGAGTTTTCAGATGATAAGAGATACAAATTTCCCCAGAATATGTTTATCTGGATACTGGATCGTCCAATTTACGAACACTGTTCAGAACCAGTATATTAGATGCATTTCTGAAGACAATAAATATTATTAACTGAGTTTATTGTTTGTTTTTTATGTTAAAAGTGGCAAACTTGGTGGTACTTGGTGGGCAGTAGCTACTGTAACATCTCTATTGTGGATACCAACCTTGGTTTTTTAGAAATAGGGATTGGGAATAAGGGAATTTCAGAAAATGGTGGAAATAGGGAAGGGCAATGTCTCTCTCACTCATCGGACGAAACGCATCCATTAAAGACTACTTCACGCCGATCTTCAGTGAGAGGGTGGTACTTACGGTCGAGACAGACCATGTTCGAGCTGTAGTTACATAACTATAGCTAGGTTCTACCACCTACATCATTGTTGAAAAAAAAAACAAATGGATATCCTTTAATTTTTTGGTATTTTTAATAATATTTAATTTATATAAAAAACATGACTTATTTAGACACACATATCATACATTTTTATATCTTAAATTACTTTCTGGTGTTTCTAATATATGTTATATGGTTAATTCTGGTATATTTGAGTGATAATTATATTGAAACACCCTGATAATTTTCTTCACTACACATTTCTAAATAATAAATATTATTATCCATGTAAGAAAGAGGCCTTTGCTCAGCAGTGGGTTCTGATAGGCTGATGATGATGATGATGATGATGATGATGATGATGATGATGATGATGATAATGATGATGGTGATGATGATGATGATGATGATGATGATGATGATGATAATGATGATGATGATGATGATGATGATGATGATGATGATGATGATGATGATGATGATGATGATTTTCTTGATTTATAGATTGTCAGGTATTTGCAGCTACCCCCCATTTGTGAATGCAGAACCCTCAATCTTTTAAGGACTTAATTCTATTTGACAACCAGCCAGTTTCCTATAAAGACATATCCCATATAACATTTTAAATTTCCAATTGTCTAACCAAAATCAGGAGTATTTCTATAGCAGCATATTTTTCCTCTCATCACTCAAAGCTTCGTCGATATCAAATATATTAGTCTTAAAGAACGCTTCTATTTCTTGTAGCGTCCTTCCTTTAGTCTCTGGTAGTTTCAACTTTATAAATACTAGACTTGTTGTCATTATTATAGCGTTCAGTAAGAATGTTCCAGAATATCCTATTACTTCTGTTAAAAATGGAAATAATATCAGTGATAAAGCTGCAAATATAGATAGCATAAGGCCAATAATGAGCATGCAGTAGACTTTTATTTCCAAGGGAAAGATCTCTCCCATTAAAGCCTCTAACACTGGAGAGGGACCAGCTTCCATTAAGATGAAGTACACTCCCAACAACGATACATTCACCCACCGCAGGTTCTCTACACCAGCTCCGAAGTAAAGACAAGCACTCAGAATGACCAAAACAGCATTAGCCATAAATCCAGTAGAAAATAACACATTACGCATCGTCATTTTCGTCACCAGAACGCAGGATAAACTGGTGCCTACCAGGATAAAACTGTCTACTAGAATGTTATAAAGAACAATATAAGAAGTTCCAGTCATGTCTTCAAGAATATTTGTTGCCAAGATTGTCAATACAACTCTGCCAGTTGCAGCAATATACGAACTCATGAAGAAACTCAGAAGTATTAAATTCCAGAAGTACTTCTTCTTTAATGCGAGATATAATTTTGCTTTAATAGTCTTCGTATTGCTGATTTCAGATTGCCTCAATTTGCAGTTTTCCATTTTTATTAAATATTGCAGTTCTAATTCTGATTTTAAGCTGTTTCCGTGGAGTTTTCTGAAACTTTCCTCACATTCTTGGAACCTGCCTTTCGAGGCCAACCAATGAGGGCTTTCAACGCAAAAATAAGGCACAATAATACCTACAAGTGCTGGGAAAATCGATATTAAAGCAACAGTTCTCCAGTGGAAGATGTTGCCCAAGTAGTGGCCCAATCCAGTACTTATAGCTGGAGACACCGATGTTATTATATTGAGGAAGAAGGCTCTGGTTTTTGGGGAAGTGTATTCAGGTGTAACCAGTATATTTAAACAGTATCTAGCTGTAACAGCAATGCCAGCGATGAATCTTGACAGCATAAAATGGTATATATTTTGTGCCTTGTATAGAATAATCCATTGCACCACTACTGCAACTGAGGATATTATGAATGGCCATCGTCTTCCAATTCTGTCACTGAACGTCGCCAAGACGAAGCCAAAGAAACCGTACATTGTTAGACCGGAGGCTGAAAGTAATATATCAATAAATAAAAGAAAATTGTGTTACTTACACTATTTATAGCACAAGAACTGCTGTAGGGATATGGTTGGAAATTGGTGGAGAGATAGATTAGAACAAGGAGACGGACATAGGATATTTAGTACTGTTCGATCGAAAAAGGAAAAAATACTTAATAAACTCCAATATCTGGTTATTTACAGCCTCTAAGGCGGGATTGAGTTCGCCCGGTCAGCTATACATATATTAATATTGAAGAAATTAACACGGACGAAGTCACGAGCAAAATTTAATTATTAGATAAATATACTAAGAAAATCAAAAATATTATTCTGTTGATTGAATTAACATTCCAATCTTTTGTTAATCTAAGATTTGTTATTCTTATTAATTTGGACGGAAAATATCATAAGGCAATGCAAGAAAATTTTCATTTACAATGTGAAGATACAATTAATTTTACGTCTTGAATATGGGACACAGATAATTGGTTATTAAAACTTATGCTGGCCATACACTTTAGCATCTACCGAAGAGGTAAACTGTGCAAGTACACCTGCGCAAGTCTATTCCTACACACATTCCTGTTTACCTGCACAGGTGGATCTCTCCGGTAGACCGTAGTGTGTATGGTCAGCTTAAATCTTTACTATAATGGTAAAAGTAATCATACTTACTTATAAAGAATATATCTCTCTCAGTGAGATTCAAGCCGTCATCGTTTCTCTGAAGGGTTTTAATCATTCCTGTTGTTTGAGCGAACAGGAATCCATTTGAGACAGCTATAGAGCTGAGACTGCCCAGCATCAGCACCTGGAAGACAGGTTCGATACAACTGAATTATTGATAACAAATAATTGTTACAATCATACATTCATTTAAAACATAATTTGGAACTTTATAGAGCTTCATTATTACGTTAAAACGAACTTGTCTTTAATGAAAACTTATTTATTCAAGAAGATGAATCACTCAGCGAGATCAAACTTCTACAAATTACCTTAATATTACCTTATGAATTGTAAAACCCATTACAGTCACCAGTTTACTCACGAAAAGTTGCTAAAATTATGTGAAAACGAAAGAAAATTTGCCCATATAATACATTCGTATAAATTAAGGTAGCTGTGAGTATTAGTGGACACTCGAACGATAGACGGTTTAAAGAAACATGCGTTACTTCTCTTTGTCACAGATGTGTCACCACCCTTGATTAGGGAAGAGAGAGAGGCACAAGAGGGAAAGGGATGGAAAAGGGAAGGGATAGGAAAGGATGGGAAAAAGAAAAGAGCAACTGTCTCTCTCACTCATCGGACGAAACGCATCCATTAAAGACTACTTCACGCCGATCTTCTGTGAGAGGGTGGTACTTACGGTCGAGACAGACCATGTTCGAGCTGTAGTAACTTGACTATAGCTAGGCTCTACCACCTAATGAGGTTCGTTAATTGAATATCAATTTGTTGTTTCGTTAAAATGATAAAAATTAAATGTTTTATTAAAAAGTATATACATATATACAAAGTAAACTAATTGGTACATTTACCACACTCGCATAAAATATCGATTATTATTGTAAACATAATTCCCAGAACTATTATCTCATTAACTTGTTTTTTCCCTCACTTTAATCATCATAAATAAATTAATATTTTTTTATTATATACTTATTATACATTATGCTTTATTAATCCAAATAATTAAATAATTATAGGAAGAGTTGGGTTGGCGTCGTCATGATGGTTTTAATTGCTGGGATCGCTCCCATGCTCCGAGGGAGTAAGTCCGGTCTTTGCCAGGACCGGCCCTTGGTGTGCCCTGTCGCTGACAGATCCGGGGTACACCGACATACCAGCCGATGGCTTTCGCAGTGGTTTTAGTGAGTAGGGGCCTGCCCAGGCCGAGCCTCACACATCCCTTCCGGCCCCACCAAGGCCGGTTGGACGGCTCGTAAAAAGAGTTTCCCTGCGTCATCAAAAAAAGGGAGAGTCGGGTTAAAATGTTATAGTTTAGTTGTTAAGAAGACTTTTGAAACTATGAAACGTATCTTTTGACATGACTTATTAAACGAGTGTTGCATTAATAAATTATGTTATATACTAAACTTTTATCAAATGAATGCCATTTTTTGTTTAATATATATGTATATTGTTTATTTTTAATTTTTGGTACTATTTTCAACTCTCGAAAAGCCAATCTGAACAAATACAACATCTAAAAACATCAACCTAAAAATCTTTGTATAATTATAAAATCTACAAGTTTATTATTATTAATTTAAGTATAAATAATGAAAAGTTTACATTAATATATAAGTAGTATATAAGCTAGAAAATATGATGTTTTCCTTCATCAGTCAGTGATGTCTAAACACTCTTATAAAGTACATATGACTCGGAACATGACATTGGTACTTGACAGGATCGAACCCGCGCTCTCATGTATAAGAGGCGGACCTTTAACCACTAGGCCACCAGGACAACCATTATTATTATCATTATTTATTTAAAAGACTGTCGTCATAAAATTTGAAAAACAAATTAACTAACTGAGCACTTATAGCGGGTCTAATGTGGTAACAATTCACGCTTTGTTTATAATAATGAGTTTTTATATTAGGCATATACTTCAAGTAACTTATTAGAATAACGTGATAATTTAAAATTCTCAATGAAACATAATTAATTGAATGACAAAAATGTGTTTTACGTAATGCTATGGTGAATTAGTGTTAAATATTGTTATTTTTTTCTGAGAGTATTTAGACATCACTGACATACGGTGAAGGAAAACATCGTGAGGAAACCTGGACTTATAGTTTCACAATTATAAGTTTGAAATCACCAACCCGTCTTGAGCAAGCGTGGTGATTAATGCTCAAACCTTCTCCATGTGAGAAAGAGGCCTTGCTCAGCAGTGGGCTCTGATAGGCTGATGACATGACATTGTTATTTTTTTGGCGAAAAAATAATAATTTGATGACAATTAGTCTCAAAATGTTTATGTTTTTATGGTAGCAGTGAAGAGACTTCATTGCCAGTGATAAAAGCGTCTACAAAGTTGTTGATTATAAAATACATTTTACATAATACTATCGGTATTCCTTTATCTACATATATATAAATGAAAGTCGTGTTAGTTACACTATTTATAACTGAAGAACGACGGTAGGAATATGATTGAAAATTGGTGGAGAGATAGATTAGAACATAGAAAGGACAATGGATATTTAATTCTGTTTGATCGAAACATAAAAAAAACTTATGAATTCCAATATCTGGTTATATACGGCCTCTACTGCGGATTAGAATTCGCTCGGTCAGCTATACATATATTACTAATGAAGAAATTAATATGGACTAAGTCGAGGGCAGAAACTAGTATATAATAAATAGGATATATTTTTTAGCAATAAACTGTACATTTATTTCATTTATTCAATATCTTTTCCATTCATTAACATTAAATTGTGACTCGTTTATAATATAAGTGTGACGTCTCAATAAATTTATAAATAAATTAGCTTCCCGCTCGCAGCTTGGCCCGCATGGAGTTCGGTTATATCGCGTTCCCAAGAGAACCTTTCAAAAGTCTGAGATAAAAACTATCCTATGTTCTTTCTCAAGGTCAACTCTATGTCTGTACCAAATTTCATTAAAAGCAGTTGAGTGGTTTAGGCGTGAAAGCGTAACAGACAGACTGTCAGTTACCCTCGCATTTATAATATTAGTAGGGATGAATGAATTAAATGTATTACATGAAGTTTTGTAAGCCTAGAGTACCAATGTGATGTTCCGAGTCATATGTACTTTATAAGAGTATTTAGACATCACTGACTGATGAAGGAAAACATCGTGAGGAAACATGGAGTTATGTATATCAAATTATAAGTTTATAATCACCAACCCGTCTTGAGCGAGCGTGGTGATTAATGCTCTAACCTTCTCCATGTGAGAAGAGGTCTTTGCTCAACAGTAGACTCTAATAGGCTGATGATGAAGAGTATAAAATACCTTAAAGGTTAATAATTAATATCTTTTTAAAAGTAAAATCTAACTTAAAGTCAAATAGATTTAAATTTTGTTATAACAAAGTTTAAATTACACTAAAGTATGTTTTTTTTTAGTAGGGTATATAATAATTAACGTCTTTCTATAATCGTTTTAATATTAATAATATTTTAATTATTCCTTAATTATAATATTATTTATGTTTCAAACTTATTATTTCAAAATAAGTTTGAAATCACCAATCCGTCTTGAGCGAGCGTGGTGATTAATGCTCAAACCTTCTCCATGTGAGAAGAGGCTCAGCAGTGGGCTCTGATAGACTGATGACGAAGTTATAAATATAGTTACACAGAAAACTGAATTGAATTTAAGAATTGTAGTGAAGGAAAATAATTGCATTGTGTCAAATATTATCTAGTATAAACAAATGTTAGGAAAAAAATCACTTATAATTAAATCATTATTTACCAAGATTCCTTGTTTCTTCAACCTGGCAATTTCCCTTCTTTAGCCAGGGTCTGCCTTATATGTTGTGAATAGTTTTGGCTAATTGTTTTTACGACCGGCCGCCTGCCTGACATCAACCCTCTTTGGGAATGCATTAATTAGCGATGTCTTAATACTCTTAGAAAGTATATATATGACTCGGAAAAATCAGATTGGTACCTGCCAAGGCCAGGATCGAACCCGCAACCAGGATTTATTGTTTATTAAACAAAATTTTTGTTATAAAATTATCTAAGGTAGGTAAGGTAGGTAACCTACATCAATTTTTTTTTTTAATATTTTCGAAGATAAAAATAATGAATGAAATCTTTTCATCTAAAATAACTACGTACAAGTTGGTTGGCGTCTTAAAGAATAAATTAGAGGAAGAATATAGGTATGGAAGTTGAAAAATGGACAAATACAGGAGCAAGGAATAGTATAAGATATACAACAACGTTTCATGAAACCTAAAATAAGATTAATATTACCTTCTAAACTGTTAAATTTAATAATATTATTGACATCTAAGATTTTCGCGAGTCATTTAAATGAGACTAATATTTTGTTGATATACTAGGCAACTTTATTTTTGTATAAAACTACATACTCCCGACGTTTTGGTTACTTTACAGTTACAGGGTAGACAAGATGTCTCAAATGTAAAGTAACCGAAACGTCGGGAGTATGTAGTTTTTATCAAAGATAATAATATTATTTTGCTATGTCAAACATTGATTGTGGAAGAGAGAGAGGAAAGGGTGGGTAAGGGCAACCGTCTCTCTCACTCATCGGACGAAACGCATCCATTAAAGACTACTTCACGCCGATCTTCAGTGAGAGGGTGGTACTTACGGTCGAGACAGACCATGTTCGAGCTGTAGTAACAGACCACAGCTTGCAACCACCTTATAGTCCAGTCATTTAAGCTTAAATTAGGTAAGAATCTCGGAATGCGAGATACCCAGCTGTAAGTCTGTAAATAGTTGTATATTGACACCCTAAAAGTTGTCTCAAAACCTACATATGGTAGGGTGTAAGCAACTATTAAATTTCAAGTTCAAAGGTCACAATCAATCGGTTTTTTGCGCTTTTTTTGGAAATATCTCATTTCCTATGGGTTTTTTGTTATTTGTATTTATTATCAATATTGTAGAATACTAAATTATCTACAAATTTCGTTTCAAAATTTTTTTTATACGGTGTACCGTTTTCGAGATAGAGGGCGGAGAGCGCGCGGTCACCGCATCACTTCAGGTCAACCGGTGCTTCCGGTAGAAAACGCGCCATATAAAGTTGATGAACTATCAA